GGGTCAAACACCTCCAAACCACAAAACACTCTAAACAAACTATTTAGAGGACCCAAAAACAGGAACTTTTTTATATTATACACTAAGCTCAAAAACAGTTCTAAGATAGGCAAAAATAGTATGCAAAAATGGGGAATAAAGGAGTAAGATTATTACCCTTGAAGACCCTCTTCAAAAATGAAGTTCCAGCAGTTCCTTAAGCTCCAAACCAGCTCCAAAACTTTGAAAAGAATCCCTTAGAACCTCAATAGCCAAGAGAAGGTGTAATGGTAGGTGTTTGTGTGCAATACTAAGAACAAATGCACCTAGAACACTCAAGAGAGAAAAAGAGAGATAGAATAGCTACAACTATACTAACTCTAGAACCAGAGCTCTCCTCTGTATTTTTTGTCTCTAAAATGTCTAACCCTAAAGCCAAGAGGGCAGGGCTCCTCTTATAGAGGAGCCAATCTTGTAAAGCTTACAAGGTAAGCTAACAAGAAGTCCATCCCTCTATACGTGTATGGAGGGGAACAAAATGCCATACAGCTGTATTAAAATATCTGCAAAAGCAGATGAACAGTAGTCGGCTGCTCAAAATTGCCATTTTGTCAAAATGGACTGCCGACCGGCAACAAAGAATGCCGACCGGCAATATACATTGCCGATGGCAACAAAACACCAGCCGGTGGCCTCTGGCCATGGCCGGTGATGTGTGGGGATGCCTCACAAGGTATTCCCTGCCCCTCCAAGGCAAAACACAAGTGTTTGGTGCAAAACCAGACACTAAACAGTCGAGTTCAGAGATCTTGAGGCAAGGCGCGTAGCCGAGACCTTCGGGAACTCCAAACGAACACAAACATGGATGATCACCGGGTGTTCAAACGGTGACGTCCAAGTCTTGAGGACGGTCAAAAATGGGGTGTCTACAGCATGGTGCTCAAAAATGTATTTTTGTGGTAAAAACAGTGTGGGTATGGAAGGTTGGGATTGTTTAGAGCTCAAATCTGGATTCCTTCGTTGAGAATTTAAACCATTTACACAGTATAACTTTCATCATCAAGTGCTTAAAATAAAGCGCCCAAGTCTTGCGAGCGGTCAAATATGGGGTGTCTACAATCACCAACACTTGAAAACGATTTTTCCCAAATAGGGTGAGCCAAAACCCAGTAGAAACAATTTAACATAATATTTTTTTTTGATCGGCAAAGAAAATCTTTATTGATGAAAGTATACAAAAAGGATACAAGACATCAATAAAGAGGAGCTTGGAGCTAACTGAAGCTCCAAGCTCCAGTTGGTGAGAAACCAACAACAACACAAAAAGGAACAGAAATGAAGCAAACAGACTACATATTAGCAAATTGCACTGAACACAAACACCAAAAACTGAGCAAAACTCCTACAACAATTGGGCTTGAAACAATCCTATTCAGAAAAGGGAAGCAATCCTGTTCAGAAATAGAACCACCATCTGGGCTTGAAACACCAAATCACACAACTGATAAATCTGACCAAACAAATGGGGCTTAAGGAACAAAACCACTGTAGAGAAACTAGATCAATCTCCACCTAGATTTAGAGCAAAATGCAACACACAAATTGAGACCAATCCATTGAACTGATAAATCTGGACAGCAAGGAAATAGATCTGGACACCCAAAATTGAACCACTGTTGATTCTATGCCAGGAAGGAAATATATTGAAACCCTGTACTACAACAGATAGAGTAATGGAGCAGCACTACAACCTCCCCTACAACCAACTGACTACAATACAGGCAAGAAACACCCCAAACTGCAGAAAAGGGAGCAGTGCAGATCAGAGCAGTCACCAAAGTTATACATCAGACATACTTCAGATTGCAGATCAGTCTTCATAACAAGCAGACTGCACAGTATATATACTTCAATTTTGCACAGATGCAAAGCTGGGTGAGGACACCTAAACCCAGAAATTACACAGACTACACCTCTGGCCTTAGTTCAGAATTTCCACCCTTTAGAACAACAGCATAGCTACACCACACAGATGCAAATCTACACACTACCACCCTTCAAAGTTTCCACACTGCAACACACATCTGTTCCTTACACATATGCAGAGTTTCACAGCACAGATGACAACACAACAAAAACACACCAGCAAAGGCACACTACAGCACACTACAGCAGTTCAGCCCATTGCACCTACCCCTCCCAAAGACCTCCTAATTTGCCTCAGATTGGTTCCAAAATCCTGTATAGAGAACTGAAAATCTCTTAGATATGGATTTACCCAGAAAGCAATCCTGTTTTTAATTAATTCACAGATATCCTCTAAATCTGGGGGAGTTGCTCTGAAGACACACTCATTCCTGCATCTCCAGATTGACCACATCACTGCCAATGGAATTGCCCCCCAAATCAACCTTTCTTTCTTCTTTAACTTTCCCCCAGCCTACCACAGGAGGAGACTCTCCACAGAGCATGGCAAAGCAGATTGGACATCCCACCACTTTAGCATTTCAGTCCATATGTTCCACACAAATGGGCACCAGATTAAGACATGGTTCAATGATTCACTTTCGCTGTTACAAAACACACAAATTGTGGAGTCATTTTCACAAATCATTCCCAACTTTTGTAAAAACTCCCTGGTCTTAATTCTCCCTTTCCAAGCAAACCACCTAAACAATTGTACCTTAGGAGGGACATGTTTGAGCCACAACAATTTAGTAATTCTCAGGGTGGCACCAGCATTATTCACAACAAAACTATACAAATCTGCTACTTTTAGGACCCCAAGAGATGAAGCTGCCCAAACTGGATGATCTTCACACTCAATACATAGATCAGGGGCTACCACTAGGAGATTAATGAGCCCAACCAATTCCATCTCCTCCCATTCATATAACTGTCTTCTAAAATCAAAAGACCAAGCCCCTGCTATGGTTTTTTTATCAACCAAGACTCTCAAGCACTCTTTTTTTTTTTCCAAAGACAACCTATACAGAGTTGGAAATTCATCTTGCAGACACACAGATTGACACCAAGCATCTGACCAAAATCTAATCCGTACCCCATCCCCTACTTTCAATTTGAAATTATGCAAATAAAACTCCTTTAAGCTACTGCTTTGCTCAGCAACCGAGATAATTCCATTCCACACCGCTGAGTACCCATTGGATGGATTTAAAGATGGAAACCAACTAGTCACCTTCAACTTATATCTATTACAAACGATTCTTTTCCACAAAGCATCCTTTTCACTACCAAATCTCCACCACCACTTGACTAGCAAGCATTTATTTACATCCCTCAAGTATCTAATGCCCAAACCACCTTGATCTACTCTTTTTGACATTTCCTCCCATTTTATCATATGAATTTTCCTTTTTGAATCAGAACCATCCCATAAGAAATTAGCTTGAACCTTCTCCAATTCTTTAGCAACCCCTTCAGGCATTTTAAACAATGATAAATAAAACACAGGCAAAGCTGAAGTTACTGATTTAACCAGTATTAACCTTCCCGCAAAAGACAGCATTTTCCTCTTCCACCTAGCTAGTTTACTTTTCACTTTATCCACTACTGGTTTCCAAGTAGCTAACCTCCTTGGATGAGCTCCTAGTGGCATCCCTAGATAAGTAAGTGGCAAAGATTTAACTTTACAATTTAGGATTGCAGCCATATCATTCATCATCTCTGCAGAAACACCCACACCACATACCATGCTCTTGTGAAAATTTATCTTCAAACCAGACATGATTTCAAAGCACCTTAGCACCCTTTTCAATTTCCTCACCTCCTCCACCTCTGCTTCACTGCATAAAAGTGAATCATCTGCAAACTGTAAATGAGTTAATACCACCCCCTCACAACCTACTTTTACCCCTTTGATTAGGTTTAACTCACAAGCTCTACTCAACAACATTTGTAGGCCTTCAGCTACTAAATTGAATAGAAAAGGGGATAGGGGGTCACCTTGCCTTAGCCCCCTTTGAGGGCTAAACTCTTCGGTAGGAGAACCATTGACGAGTACTGAGACCCTTGCAGTTGTAACAGACTCCTTCATCCAATTAATCCATTTAACTCCAAACCCAAACTTGGAGAACATATCAAACAGAAAACCCCAATTAATAGAGTCATATGCTTTCTCAAAATCCAACTTAATGAGCACACCCTTCTTCTTGGCCTTCTTCCAACCCTCAACAATCTCATTAGCAACAAGTACTCCATCTAGAATATTCCTCCCGTTTAAAAATGCAGACTGAGGCTCACTAATAATATGTGGCATTATGGATTTCAATCTGTTTGCCAATAGTTTTGCTATGATCTTGTACATTGAGCCTACCAAACTTATTGGTCTGTAATCAGAAAGCCCTAGTGGATTATCTCTCTTCGGAATGAGGGTTATGAAAGAGCTATTTATACCTTTAACCAATTTGCCATTTGTATGAAATTCTTTCACAAAATTAATGACATCGCCCGTCATCACCTTCCAAAACTTCTGATAACACAACAAATTAAACCCATCCGGACCTGGTGCTTTATTCCCATCACAATCCATCACTGTAGATTTAATTTCTGATTCTATAAATTCTGCTTCTAGCAATCCGAAACACACCCTGCCTTCAACTGATGGAAACTAACCCCCTAGCACAGGTCTTGAAGGCCATAGTTCTGCATACTGTAACTTAAAAAATTCCAGCACTTTACTCTTCACTTGACTTGGATCATCAAACACCACCTCCCCTTCTGAAATAGAGTTTATCTCATTTCTTATTGTTCTACACTTTGTAACAACATGAAAAAATCTTGTATTTTTATCCCCTTTCATGGCCCAGTTAAGTTTAGACTTTTGCAACCATAGCCACTCCACCATCCTACTCAACCTCCACATTTCAGCTCTAGATTTACTTCTCCTCATTTTTTTCCTCTCCATCAAGGTCTCTAACCTCAGCCAGCAGATCAAAGCTATGAAGCTCACCCTCTACTAACTTCAATTTATTTATAACATTACCAAACACCTCCACATTTCAACTTTTAAGACCATTTTTCAAGAACTTAAGCTTCTGTGCCAGAATAAAACCAACCCAACCCACAACAGTGGCCTCTTCCCATTTAGACTCCCAGAATCTTCTAAGGTTTTTATGCAAGAACCATGCATTTAGAACCCTAAAAGGCTTTGGGCCCCAGTCCCTCTCATCCTCCATCATAAGGAGAGGGCAATGATCCGAGACCAAACGAGGCAAACCCCATAACTTTAACTTGAACACCTCAAGCCATTTTGGATCTACTAACACTCTATCTATTTTGCTCCACTTCTCCCCAACAAATGAATTACACCAAGTAATTCTCCTTCCAAGTAAAGGTAATTCAGAAACCTCACACTTATCAATGAACTCATTAAATTCATTCATGCCTCTATCCCTCCTTGAGCACCCTCTCCTTTCCCCAATCTGTCTAATCTCATTGAAATCTCCTCATAAACACCAAGGATCAGGAAACTCCTCCTTCAATTTCAATAAACAATTCCACAGCTTCCCTCTTCAGCCCACATCATTCGGTGCATAAATGTTTATAATAACACCATTGAACTGATGGAATAAAGTACTTGATAACAGGATGAGCCTTCTATTACTGCAACATTCCTTCACTTGGAATACATCTGGGTCCCATATACACAATAACCCTCCCGCCGAGGCTTCAGCATCCACCACCATAAACTCCATTTTGGCTCTAACCCATACAGATCTGACATCTTCCTCTGAAAACTCTAACTTTTTTGTCTCTTGGAACAGTACCATGTCTACACTCCTCTCCTTTAAAAGCTTCTTCACTTTGCTTCTCTTCTCCATCCTCCCCAACCCTCTAACATTCCACGAAAGCAACTTCATAATTAACCATGTTTACACCTATCTAACCCCCTGCTAGTGTACTTTATAGCCCAGCTTTCTTCCCCCCTTCAATACGCTCCATATCCTTCAATTCAAGATCCACTATTTCCTTCACCACTTCAGCTCTCTTGCCATTAAACTGCATCCCGAGAATTTCTCCCATTTTTACAGTTGCTTCGGCTTCATTCAGTATAAACCTCCCTTTGTCGACTCCACCCTCTATTGAAGTAGATAGAGACGTTGCCGCCACTGCTGCAAGCCAAGCTGCTGCCTTACGCATGGCTCTACTAGTTGAAGCACCTCTACTCCCATACTACCTCATCATCTCGAAGGGTCTTCTCCTTAAAATGTTCTGATTAGATTTTCTCCTACTGTTACTCCTCTCCTTTACCTTTTCCTTCCCCTTCCTACATCTTGAATGCTTATTACTTGGCTCCTTCTCTTGGGCTTCTGAGAGGCTTGACAGTCTCCCACAATGCCCTACTTTAGCAGCGTTAATTCTTTCAGATGATTCTTGCTGCCCCAACCCAGTTTCTAGTGGCCCCAGCCCAATTTCTGCTTGACACAGCCCACCCACTTGCTTTAATAAATTATTATGGCCCAAGACTACTTCTATATTCACACCAGACCTTTCAAGGCTAGACCCTCCAAGACTTCTAACAAAACCTGGCGTGCCCACTTGGTTCTCCAAACTCTCACTGACAACCATCTCCTCCTCAGAGCTGATCCTCTGGCTTCGCACTTCCATCATTTATTTGCATGACTCATCACTCATTTCTTTCCCCCCATCACTTCGAACATTTTGAGCTTCACCTACACTCCTCCAGCATGCCACATTTTCCACCTCCTTCCTCATACTACAACTACTTGGTCTGGTTTCTTGGTCCACCCTAAAGCCAACCCCCAGGTCAGCAGCTAACTCCTCCTCCATGTCAGCAGCATCATCAACTTCCGTTCTGCAATTTCTGTCCTTATCTTGTTCTCCCAGCACATTTGAACTACCAAACTCATCTACAACTTGATGCTTATGACATCTACATGTAAATTTCAAAGCTCTGACCGTTACCACCTGTTCTTCGTAGACTCTTACTGGAAATAACATACCTCTGCATTCCAGTTGCACAACTGAGTTTATGGGATCCATCCATTTAGTGGATACCTTAAGCATAGCACACACAAAGGATAGTGGTTGATTCATATCCCCTTCAAAACATAGCACCTGCTCTCAGATCCCACCTATCTTTCTGAGATTGGAACTATTCCACAGATGTAATGGGATTCCATAGCAACTTAACCATACACATCTTTCCTGCTCCAGTACCTGCCCAGATTGTCCTTCAGTAATATCTTCACACCAATCCATGATCAGCTCCTTAATAGCTAATAATTTCAATGCCCTCTCATCCTTTGATTTAAACATAATTACCACATCTTTTCCCCCACTTTCCCTCACCATGATATCCTCCACTCCTATTGCTGCCAATTCCTTTTTCAGACTAACATCAGCAAATTGGGCCTTCAATCTTACAATGATACTCTCAAACAACCAGCCATTTCTTGCCTCATCTGCCTTTAGTAGGATGTTTCCTATTTCCCCTGTCCTCTTTCCTTCAACAGCCACTGCATAGGATCTCCTATCTCTAATGCCACGAGCCCCATCTCTAACCACTCCAGCTTGTACGACGTTTGCTACTAGTCTCTGCACTTGCTTATGTACTAGTAGTCTTTCATCTTTATCAACTCCCTTTTCTTTCCCAAACTCTGCGTGGTTAACCTGTAATGGTCGATCGTCCACCCACAAGCCATTTGCCTTTTGTACAGCTATCTTGGCTGCTACATAGCAATTAAATCTCACAAATCCAAACCTCGTGTTAGAGACCTTCCTTCTCTTCTGCGGTATAAAAACATCTAGGATCACTCCAAACTTTGAAATTAGATTGAACAGCTCCTTAGGGTTTAGTGATGCTGGTAGGTTATCTACGAACACGGTGAACACGCTTGCATTTCCCCTCGACCTCCATGGCCCTGATCTTCTTGTGCCCTTCACGACTGGTATCCACCCTCCTGCCATGACTTCCCTGAATTGCAAAAGAGAACTTGCACAATATACTTTCTGCCTTCTCTTAATGCCTTCGCCTTGATCTTGTACTCAATTTAACATAATATATGAATATTAACAAGGATATAAGTATGATATGCATATCCAATACCCTTGACAAAACTATTTATAGTTTTTTTACAAAACCATGCCATGCCAAGTTTTATATCTCAATTCATTTTATCTCAATGTACAAGCCATTCACCATTTCATTCAGACAACCAAACTGAGGGTACAACTCAGTGGATTTCTAACCAACACAGCCATTGTACAAATACTTTCATTTTGCTATTTTACGGATATTTCGTTTGCAAGAATCGACACCCATGTATATGTGCGATTTTTGGGACTTTTATCCTGGATGCATAGGCAAATTTAATTCAATGGAGTCCATCTATTTCTTCTCTCAAACTTAGAGTACATCCCATTTCTTCTCCCAAATATCATACAATTACAATGTATCAAAGACATAGTCATATTCAATGACAACATATAAGAGATTAGTTTCAATTTACGTAATCCTAAAGCAATTTCTATAATAATCATAGCTATCCTTCATCGATAGCCCAAAATAGATATTTCTAAACAGATATGCAATCTTTAAGATAGATAAATTATCAAAATTTTCATAGGTAAGAGGTAACATATATCCAACTCCTCCATTTATATAAACATTCATCTAATTTCATATTCCCAATACCAATTTCATTTATTTATACAAAATAACTATTCGAGACATTTTAGGACAAAACTTCCTTTTCTTCCAAAGCCCATCCCGGGCATCAAAATCAACAAATTTATCACAACACAACCTCAGATCTACTCCTATAACCATCTTTAACACATACATTTGAGAACCCCTCTTTGGGTTTTAAACTAAAACTCTAGGTTTGTTCAAAATCATCCCAAATTTTAATATTCATTATACATCAACAAATAACTAAGTTAAAGCTCATAGAAGAGTGTATAAACTCCCTACCTCGAAGCTAGAGATCAAGGAAGCAATTGAGGAATTCAAAGACATTGAAACCAAGTTCTATTCAGATCAAAACATAACTGTTGAGGTGCTCTACCTTTTTAACAAAGCCACGTGGGTAGAGAAACCACCAAATTTAGGTGAAAATGTAGAGAGAGAAAGTGAGTTTTAGAAAGAGGGTTTAGATCTAGGGTTTTGAGAGAAAAAGATGTAAAAAAGTGATGTAGAAAGGTGCTGTTACGAAATCATATACGTATAGTGCTCTCGAGCGTAAGAAGTAACGCTCGAGCGTTAGACACAATATGTTGTTCTGCTCGAGCACAAGAAGTGATGTTTGAGCACAGAATGCACACTTCTAGTAGTTTTGCAGGCAACAAACCAATGCTCGAGTGTAAGAAATGCCGCTTGAGCTGAGACCGCTCGAGTGCAGAAAGCACTACTCGAGCGTAGAATACACTCTCCTAGAAATTTTGGAGACTTACAAAAGTATTGAGAATTCACAAAGTCCACTTGAGCACAAAAAGTGCTGCTCGAGTGGAGGAGTAAAATTCTAGGCAATAAAAGTTTGAAAACTAAGCAACCAACCTGTTCCAAATGCAGCCATTACAATCCAATAACCAAACTCGAGGAAGTATGAGAGGAAAAAGACATGAACAACACTACTTAACCCCAAAACCCGAGTTGAAGATACAAAAGGGTCAGGTGAAAGCCAGAATCGCTATAGTATGTGTATATGTATGTACATATGTATAAAGATAAGATAGCAGCGGTATAGTGGTAGAGATGAGGTTGGCTTTGGTGTACATCAACTTTGTTCACAATATCTACCTCTTGTTCTTCCTGAACTTAAGCTTCAGCTTGTTCATATGTACGGCTCGGCTCCATCGAATTTGTTTAAATCTATTTATTTTGAGAAACTATAATCATCAACATACTCGATAGGCCTTGTCAGGAACATAGCTGCTCCGAGGTTGAAACTGCGATTGTATTGAATCGGGATTCTTTATCACTAATCTTACCGAAACATCTCGAATCTATCAATGATATGAGATGTTGATGATTCAGATTTGATTTGATTGTTATGTGTGCTGTTGATTTTTTATTTTTGATTTTGGATATTTCTCTATCATTTGTTCTTTGTATAGATAGATGATTTTGGAATAATGTATCATTTTGGACAGAGATTTAAACAAATAAGGGATACAAATTGAACAGATAATAAAATTATATTTATGTATGTATGAGAATTTGAAAAGATAAGTAAAAAATTGAACAGATAATAAAATTTGAATAGACATTTGAATAAACAAGGAATTTCAACAAGTAGATACAAATTTGACAGATAATTAAAAAAAGCTGAACAGATAAAAAGATATTTGAATAAATAGTCAAAAAATTTTAAACGGATAAAATATTTGAACAAATCGTTAAAAAAAATTAAACAGATAGATTAAGGGGTGAAATTAAAAATAAAATGTCCTCGAAAATAATAAATGAACTTCTTATCAAACTATTTCACAAATGGCAAATTTTGCACAATATACATATGCATATATATATATCTAATGGACCTAAGACCTTATACCTTCCACTAAATTGTGTGGATTGTGCATCTCACTATTCAATGTAACTTCCTAATCAATAATAATTCCATAATCGCTATATAAATATAGTGGCAATGTGATAATATATATTAGACTGTTTTAGTGATGATGTAGTATTACCATTGTGTTTAATTTTTTTGAAATAATTACCCACAATTTATATTGATTGGACTTTTTTTTTTTTTTTTGATTGGCAAAAGAAGACTTTATTGATAAAGCACATACAAGGTATGAGAAATTACATCAATAAAGGGGAGCTTGGAGCTATATCAAGCTCCAACCTCCTAATTGGTGAGAGACCAACAAACAAACAAAGCTAAGG